AAACAGTCAAAAGTCCGTATCATGTCCGTATATGCCGTTTAATCGTTCAAAATAGATATATATTATGATTTTAACCAACAACTGAAAAACCAGGCCTTAGTTAGTTTATCAAGATTTAGTGTGGACAGGTGCCTGAGGGATAGAAGAGGATTTTAGGCTGTAAAATAGGTCCTAAACTAGGCCAGTTCAAAAGAGAAAAAATACTTCAAAAACAGACAAATAGTAGCCGTCCGACTAATGGCTGCTTTCATGTTTTCTCAAAATTTCATGACCCTAGAGTACGAAAAAGCTAGGGCTTCCGTTTTCCTCTCTCTGTGTGTCACGGTCTGCCGTCTGTGTTGATTTTTACTTAAATATTAGACAGATAATATCTCCAAGTACCGGACTAATTGTTGTCAAAATTTATAGATATGTGAATTGGGACTATCGTCTAGATCGTTGACCAACCTATGTCTATTTATTCACCGACACCCTGCATAGAGAATGTTATTTAAATTTTATAAAATAACATAGTCCTTCACTTGTGACCTATAAATCTCTTTTCTGTTTGTACCTTAGACATCCAGATTTTTAGAAAGAAAAAACCGGTCCAAGGTTACTTCGACAGAACTTCTCTCGCCCTTGAAATACCGTTCAATAAATTTTGCCTCCAAAAATTAGAAAAAAATGCTGTTTTCTGAAAATCTTTATACCGCCTGTCTGGAAAATGGCGGATTAACTCTTCAGTACGTTATACACGGGAGTTTCCGGAGTCCCAAAAAAATAATAAAAAAATTCTTTATGATGTATATTACGAAAAAAACACACTTTTATAAAAGTAAAATTGGCAACACTGCACACCCCTAATGAGTGAATACGTCCAGCTTACTTTCTGGTTTCTTAGCAACGATGGTGACTGAAATCCACCTCAGGCAAACATTGTTGTCAAATGGAATTTTATCAAATTATTACAAAAACAACACGGCCATATCTTTGTGCAATCTAACTGAAATGGTAATTAAACATGGTCATGGGCGAGAAAAATATTAACTAAAAGTTTTATTACTAGTTATTGTGATAACGAATGAGCTATTTAGTTGTTAAACGTAGCAAAAGAACCAATTTTAAAATCATATAACTCTACCAAAATGTGAGAAGGATTTTTTTTACTATTTTTCCCAGACTCACCAGTTGATGGTTAAGAGTGTAGCGGAGAGTTAATCCGCCATTTTCCAGACACCCGGTATAGTAAAAACCAACTGGTGTAAATGACAAATTCGAATCCCTGCGCATTGGGGGCGCAAAATCCAAGGAGGCGTCGTCCGTAAACACACAGACAATATGAAATATATTTAAAGCATCGAAAGAATGTCACGTAGAAATTTGTTTAATTTGAATGAGTTGTCTCCTCAAACCAGAGGACTAGAATTATTAATTAAACCGCAATGGAACAACATGCTTGCAATATGATTATTATTATTCTTATTATAATTAGAAAAAGACGTGGCTATTCTCACATTTTCTAAAAATGAGGTTCTTAATTTGATTAATAAAAAAATGGTCGAAGGCTGTAAGTATAATCCGACAAATCCAGCTCTATAAAAAAATTATAAAATTTGATTTTACTATTTTCGTTCTGTGGTAACCGTTGTAAAGTAAAAATAACACCCCCACAGCCCCTGAGACGTATGGACAATGTGAAATATATTTAAAGCACATAACTAGCGGGATAAAATGTCCTTCAGCACTACGTAAAAGCAATATGAAGTTCAAGTGTTCATTTATGTTTATACATCGAAAGCATGTCACCTACAAGTAATTCAGCCAGAATCAAACAAAATGTTCTGAATATTAAAATTCTTATTTTATCATTATTACATAAAGACGTGCGTATTCTTCACATTTTCGAAAAAATGGGGTGACTCGTTCTTAATTTGACAAAAAAAAAATTGTCATGACATCATCAACATGTGTAATAATAGTCATAGCACAAAAGAAAAGTAGTCACAGCGTATTATCAATGCAAAAAATAAGTAAAGAGCCAGGTTCAGCTTCGAACCTACGACCGTAGATTACCGTTCTCCCCGACAAAACCACTGTGCCACGAGGACTTATAACGCGTAGTGGTACCGTGCAATTGTATTTGCGAAAATTTGAACGTTTAGAGAAAAACTTAAAGTAGATTGGTATACTACAAGTATCGGAGTATATTTTTGTATAACTTTCAAATCATTTTGAAGTACAATTGATTGAAATGACGTGATCAAAATGTTGGTGGGGATGATTAGCCAAATTTTGGTTAGCATTACATGGTATTTCTAATGTACATACAAAGTTTGACAACTATCGATTCAGCAGTTTCGGAGATTACGTGTCTAATAAAAATACATACTGACATCAGGCAGACAGACAGACAGACATCTTTGCGTACCGTGGGGGTCCCGAAACGTCGAGAAAACATAAAAGTGGCCGATGGATTCGATTACTATACTTCTTTAGCTTATACTTGAAACTATAAACTCTAATGTTATGAAATTGGGTGAGCACTTTAGGGTTATCATGGTAAATCGTTAAACAAAATTTATGTTGTTATATCTTTCCTCCCCCAAGTTGATGACGTCGTCTCCAAAATTTTACCGAACAAATCTTCTCTAAAGTGTGTAAAATATTATGAGTCTATACTAGGCTGACCCAAAAATTAAAAATGAAAAAATTATCTGTCCTACCTTCGGAACAGTTGCTAAATGAGTTAAAAAAACTCTATGTAAAAGCACATGCATATAAAATAAGTTTTAAAGGTTGCTCAAAGAGAATAACTAAAGTACGAATACCAAAAATATATATTACTCTATTCCACATATTACACAGATTAACAAATTATAAAACGGTATAGTAAGTACAACTAAAGCAAACAGTTAATTGAATTATTCATCAATGTGTTTTTGTTGCAATTCGGATAGACTTTTCGATGAGCTTGTATATCTATCACTTCTAGTACGTTTTGTTTCTCACTTTCGTTTTTCGATAATGAAGTATTATATTCTTGTGCAAGCGCCACACCTCGCTCAGCACAGTCATTTACTACTTTTAGTTTACTGATACATTCAACATTTTGTTGATATTCATTATCACTTTCCCAATATAAAGGATCTATATTTAAAAAATTAGAACTTAACCCTAGCTTATCGAAGAAGCATTTTGTTTTTTCAGTGGCAAAATAGTCAAGCGAAATTTTATTTGCCAGCATTATAGATTGGGTAACTGTCGCTTTTTTCCTTGAGTTCTTTTGTAGTTTTGTGAGAGCTTTAACCATTAGCTTTTTGTGTACCACAAAAATTTCGCTATCAAAAAATGCGAGTCCCACGAGTTCTTCCCCTAAATACATTTAAGATAAAAAAATACTGATAAATTTTTGTCATGTTTTTCATGCAAGTTTTTTAACACATGTTGTATGATTATACATTAATTCAGTGGTTTTAAAATTTCAAACAGTTTGAGCGACCTTTTAGAGTTCAACAAATGTGTTACATTTTTTTCTGCAATTACATATTAATCGAAAGCACCCATTGAAGGGGTAGGAGCAATATATTTTAAAAGTTTCGTTTTATGTCACCTCGGATAGGTCACCCTAGTCTATACTCCAAAATGTAAAAATCGCTGCCGTCTCAGTTTTCTCATTCGCAAAGTGTTGGTGACATTTCGGTACGTGGAAAGTGTGCACACGTTGAAGGAGCAAAACTGTTGAATTGTAACCATAAGATGTAATATTTTATTAGAAATGGTTCGGTCATTGGAATTCTCATTTCAGCAATAACAAACTTTATTGTTAAAATACGCTCCTATTTAACTATTTTAGGACTCTTGACCTATTTATTGTCAGATTTAGGCACCATACAGTTACAGTTTGGGCAATATAATAGGCAAATAGGCACAAAAACTAAAAAATATACAATTAAGCAAAAACAGTAGGGCTGAAATAAGAGTATTTTTTGTGAAGCGCATTTATGCAGAAGACTTGCATGGAAGCCTATTTTAAAAATGAAAAGGCATTTGCCCTAAGATCCGCTCCGTACTGATCCGTGAATTTACACTCGTAAATACGTTTCCTCTTGTTGTCATAGAAAATGTAAGTAATTTCATGATCTCTAGTATACTCGAGAATTGTGGACGACTTATACTATGCGGGATTCTGGTTATTCTACGTTGAATAGATTCCAAAAAGAAAAAAATTCTTATCTCTTTTAAAGACACGAAATCAACTGTTTTTTTTTTGTAAATTCTAATATTCTAGGAATATAGATTTTGTAAATTCTAATCGTTTAAACACTAGTGGGCCATGGTGTAACAAAATTTTGGATCTCAAATAAATGATCTTGTTAGATTTAACAATAATGTGAATTACATGCTCCCATTATGATAAATGTGAGGTAATCAATATCTGTAGCTTTAAGTATTCATCGCATTCTGAAAGTTCTACGTTATTAATAAAATATCTATACGCGATCTAAATAATGTGACTCGATCTTGAAATGTGTGGCAATTAGTAACTTTTATGAAATAGAAATATATCTGTGTCCTTGTTATGCTCCGTCTTTTCGACAGCAGGTATTTTTTGCTTCCAGTATGGCGATCCTGTTACTGTCATTTGGCCGTCAATTGCCTTGGTGGTAACACGTCTTCCACGACTGTTTGCTGGTTACCGGTGACACTTTCTCGTTGAATAGGGCTGGAGTTACTTTGTGACTGGAATCATGTTCTTTCCGGTCCGTTAACTCAATAATTCTAGTACAGTCTGTCGTAACCTCAAATCGTAAACACATCAAACTTTCGTTGACAGATAGCGAAAATTACTAGCCTCGCGCTATCTTTGTTTAACACATAGGTTAGGTTCCTCTCTGTCGAATTCCGACCACAGGCAGTTTGCCGTACTTTCTAAAAGTAATAGTAGATCTAGTGACTTTAGATCTAAATGATCTGATACGACACCTGGTGCCAAAAATGTGCACTACTCAGGAGCATAGTGAAAGATGTAAATACCGTTGGTTGTACAGTGAAATTTCGTTGTTTTATGTTAAACCAACAAAATTAAATAAGTTGGTCCCAGTATTCCTGAAAAAATGACTGTTAACAATACAAATTGTTGTGTTTTTCGCTGCCATAGCAAAAACAATAGAAACAGTGGGCTCTCTTTTCATAAATTCCCCATAAAAAACAAGTCATTTGTTTAAATGTTATGAACAGGTAAGTATTCATATCAACAGTAAATTTAGTTTAATCAGTATTTAACTAAATTGTTTTTGATTATCAGTATAATATGTATATATGTATTATATTTTTAGGTTAGGAATCAGGGAAAAAATGGACAGATATAAGACTTGGATGGTAAAGCTAAATATGGGAAAACCAGCAACAAAGCACATGAAAGTGTGTTCACTACATTGTAATCAGGATGATTTCATATTGAGGATTTGATTTGAGGACCCAGGTGGGTTAGTTAGCTTCGTGCTTGCCCACTACACCTTGGGTCGTGGGTTCGATTCCCGCCTTGCCTTTTGGGTGTTGTGTATGTCATGTTTCCTGTAATTGGGCCTCCAGCTTGTTAGAGACATCATAGGATAAAATAAATAAAAATAAAAATATTACCTGGTAAGTACAGATTTGGGTAAATGTTGTTAATGTATAATAGACAATAAATGAAATATTGTAGATGTAAGTATCATTACTAAAGAATTACTACCTAGAAGGCCCAAAAATCGAGACTTTAAAGCAGTCAGAAGTACAACAATGAGAAAATCTGAAGGTTACATAATTTCAAGTACAGATAGTACTGATGTAAATTGCTTCGACAGCAGTCAGTTACATCAAAAAACTGTTTCAAGTATGTATACATTTGATGATATTTAAAAAATACAGATTATTTTCTAGCATTAGAAATGGAAACCGTGCAGGCTTTGTTACATTTACAAAATTCACAAAAAAAGGATAAAAATATTCAAGTGACAAGTGGAGATTTAGTGGCACCTTTTATAAGTACACTTAAATCTGATAATGATTTAAATACAATGGCTGGAATACCATCCTTTCTGTTATTTAATGCTATTGTTGCAAATTGTGAGATGTTTGGAAAATTCTGTAATAAACATAAATTAAACTTGAAAGAACGTGTTCTGTTAACTTTTATGAAACTGAAAAATACATTTTCTTATGCTGTTTTAGCAGTTTTGTTTAAAACGGTGACAGCAATAACCTGTAATATTATTCATGCTTTATTATTTTATTATTATGCATTATTCCACTCATACATAGTATGAAATGAACACTTAATTTAAAAAACAATAATCGCTATAATTAATAAAGTTTTCACAGAAGTTTTAACACCACATGATTTAGCATGTGTTCACTTAAAAAGTTAAACAAAGGGTTAATAAAATGAGAACTACAAAAAAAACTGACACAAACAACGAAACAGGCTGTAAACTGAACAAATCCACTACAAAAACGCTCGATTTATTAACACAACACACTTTTTTCACACGATGGACACTTAAGACTTGCCATAAAGGATACGTCAAATATGCCTTAGAGCGGCCATGTTGCAGTTAACAGTGGCGCCCCCAACGGTCATTTAGTTCGCGTATACTGCCAGACAAAAAAACTCGAACACTTGATTTTTCTGTGAATACTTGCAACTAGTCGAATTTTTGTAAAAAATATTCCGAAAAGCAAATGATTAATCTATTCATTAATAAAAAACATTACTTTATTCTACAACATGTGGAAACAGAAAAAAAGTAAAAAAAGTTATAACCCTAAACATTAGCGTAAATTTACAAATATTCAAGTGTACGGGTTTTTTTGTCGGGCAGTGTACATATCTCTAGGATTATTTTTTCCAGTGCATAATTATTTGAATTTACTAGTATCAAGGGGAAGGGAACAATTTTGACACCACAATTTCGTTGTAGTCAAGTTTTGTTCTACTTTTTGATGGTCAGTTGAAATATGGTATCTCACATTTTTAAGTCATTTGCATAAAACGCCTGACGAGATACTAAAAGACCGTTGAGATCGCCAATATAATTAACAAAAAAGGACCTAAAATTGAGTCCAATGGGACGCCATCAGTGGTTGGACTAAAAGAATTGATCTTGACTTTAAAAATGCGACTGTTGAAAAGAGAATCAATCTACATTAGAAAAGGACTTCAATACCAAAATTTCGAAGCTTGAATAAAAGCCATCGTTTGGGTACTCGATCAAAATCCTTGGAGAAGTCAAGATATGCAATATCTACCGAATTTACACGATTCATCTGATGAATGAATGAACCGATTAGCTAAACAGCACAGTAAGTTGTAGGAGACAGAATTCTCGGAGAAAATTTAAACTAATCGGATAGTAGTTACAAGTATCAAATATGTAACCTTACGTAAATTGGGTTAACTGTGACAGTCATCCAGTCTTGTAGGAGAAGTAGCTGCTTTTGATCTTTTTAACCTCTCATAAGCCAACGGTGGTTAATACTGTGGCAGAAAATGTTTTGGAGAACATTCTGGAAATGTGTTCGTGAGTATAGATACGAACACCATTAGAATCACGCAACTGCTGAGTTCTGACAGGGTTTGATAGAGTACATCTAATACTTGTAAACACATTTAAGATATTTTTTCAGTAATGTTTCTCTCATATTTATTTCTATCCTCTTTGATTACATTTGACAGCCAGTTAGAGAATACAGAATGTACACTACAATCCACTTGTTCTTTTGAATCTGCACCATAAACATCTTTTTCGTTTGATCAGTTTAAGATTTCGATTATCTGTCCATGGCTTGCAATAGGATTCTTTTAGTGTTATCGTTTCAGATGTAGATTCAATTTAACCATTCAACTTTGGCTTAAAAATGTCACAGTTGTCACACAAGGAAGAACTAGTGAATAAAAATCTATATCCAGTTCATTATCCACTGAATCAAAGTCGCTAATTTTTTTCGGTGTGGCATAAACCTGATATCCCATATAGAACATATCTGTAGTTCAGCTTTCAAGACTACATGATCTATCGGCCAGTAGAATCTAAATATTACAATTTAGTTTTCATCCGATGTAATAAGAAGATCCAATATTGAAGGTTGTTGCTATGTTTTATATCGGGGTGGTTGGTCTACTAAATACACTATATAGTTGCGTAAATCATTTAACATTTGTTACTTGATTACTATTTGTAGCTACAGCCAATAAGACGGTAAATATATTAGTATCGTCAAGTGAAGACGAGATCGGAAGATGATAAATGCAACCTATGACAAAATTAATAGACTTATTTGAAATTACAAACAGAAGCATTTTCTATAGTATCAACATCTAAAGCAACTGCAAAGAATTTGAACTGCCTGAGATATATGTCCAAACACAACTTTGATGTGACAAAGCTCTCTTTAATTTACACTGGATATTCAAACATGGATTTTTCATATTTCTATCGTATGTAACATAAATACCATTTGATCACAAAAAAAATCCTCTAGTAAGCCATGGGTTTAGGTAATTAGTTAGATATTTGTTGTAAAATTGAGGAGATAATCTAGAGGATCCAGTTGCCAATTGATATTGTCCATTACTTCGATTAATTGCTCAAAATCCAAGGGCAATTCGTGATCCGTATCCTCAATAATCCGCCTCGCTGAAGTTACTCTTTCTCTAAGTGTTGTAAAACTTTCTAAAGATTCATTGGGTTTAAGTTTGTTATGCGACGTTCCTTCCGTATCTATATTTTCTAAAAAACTTGTTGAATTAAGTGAAAAAGACCTGAATCTTCTTTTGTAGCTCGCCGCCACTGCTGCATAGGCAGTATGTCAGTCTGTCAATTATATTAATTGATTTTATTAATTTCAAAGAATTTTTTTTTATAGGTATTGCGGTGCTTGAATCATTTTATTGGCTGGCTGCATTTCGTTTATTTTTGTTAACTATGTATATTTCAAACATTTAAAATATTTTTTTTATATAAAATTTAGTAGTTACTCTTCCAAAATAATCAATATAAATGCAAAAAATAAAACAATAATAAACAAATGAATTTGTCATAAATACTGCAAATTCGTACACGTATATTATATTTACTTTAAATGTCCAACCGCTAAAGAATTTCTGACTCGAAAAGCTCCGCCTTTGGTCTCATCAGTAGAGCACATTTCAGTGGTTGACTAGGATTCGAGAGTATTTATCTTATGTACTGAAGAAAGCAGACTAACAGTAGTGAGATATGAGGTGTTGCATAGTAGTGACTCGATACGATACAATACAAACCAATAAATCACAAATATCTCAGCATATGTTTACTTTAATTAAAAAAAAAAACGTGCTTAAAAGTTTATAAATTTTTCAAGTATAAATGAAAATATTGACATACATAAATACACAAATAACAATGTGTTTAATTCGTTTTAGACTGTACATTTTGTTTGTTTGTTTTGCTCACATGTTTCTGCTATATCCAGCAAAACTAATTTCATTTTTTTGCCTTGGTACATCCTTCTCCAACGGTTTTCCACTCATTGAATAATCTTTTTTCCACTCAAACACTGTTGGATGAAGTTTAGAACTCGCTTGCTACTGCTTACCGTGGACGTGTTTTGTATAACCTTATTTTTTTTTTTTTATAAAACAAAACCGCATGTGCAGCATCAGTAAATTTGTCTTTTTTTATTCTACGTAGCCAGACGGAGTGCCGTCAGAGCTCACTACAAGTACCTAATGAGTAGCGACCGTAACAATCAAGTTCGAGGGTCTCTGACCAGCAGGTGACGCTCGCGATCTTGGTGGAGCGCCGCTCTGCCTTTCAGCATTCCAATTCAGCTGTAAAAGCTGCCTGTGCATCTCTTCTCGGTGCCGTAATCCGAGCTACGGATGAGTGGCTGCGGTGTGGCATCACGAGTGCGGTTCTTCTTCGTCTTGTAGCAGATCGGATGCAAACCGCTCAGCCTCGCCGTAGGCGATACATCTCCAATCCGGGCCGGTTATCATCCGCGCACCGCCCCCGGGCTAATGTGGTATCATAGGCTGTAATTAGCCGACTGAGACTACAAGATAATGTACTTCGCCAGCATAAATCTTTCTACTCTGTCTCTCTTTTGGGCCGATCTCGGCGACATCTCTTAGAACAGAGACGGAAAGTCGAAGCCCTCCGGTGTGGAACCGCGGCTGCCGTTCGCGGAGCCGAGGGGAAATTATTAAATTATATTATAAAAAAGATTTCGGAGATGGTTCGTTGCTCACTCGATGTTATTCCAAAGAGAATCACTCAATTTCGCATTTAGGTTGTGGGAATGGGAGCCGCTTTGATTGCTCGACGTTGGTGGTAATTTTTATTTGACTAAGAATGGACGCAGATGGTGCGCGTTACCACTGGCGGAATCAAAACGGGCTCATTTTGAGAAGTCGCAATTTTTAACTTAATTTTTAATGTTAATATTTTTTTTATTTGTAGATTTTTGTTTTAAGCAACAGCAATTGGTGTTTAAATTCTGATAGATGACTTGAAGCTGTGCGAGCTCGAGACTACGAGCGACGCGATGTAACAGCTGAGTCTAGAATATCTAAACAAGTACCCTTGTAAACATGTACCCGATGTGTATTGATATTTTATTCCATACCGTCTTTTGGGGTTATAAAATAAATATCCGGATGGTGCGAGGCTATGTAACAACACAGTGTTAGAATCGGTGACGATTATAAAATTACCGACGAAAATATATGTGTTATATACGTATATATAATACATCTAGACATATAAATTTCAAGTCACGAAGTCCTGCTTTGGAAATGCATAATTTATCCAATTACATCTTCAATAGCACAGGATTCTAACTGGTCATTTAGGATCTGTTTACCAAGTTATAATTATTACTAATTGATACCAATTAGGTACTTAAATAAGCATTAAATGCATAAATTTAAATTGGAAAATAACAGATTTGCTACATATACATTTTTGTTTAATTTAACCCGGCGCATCCACCATATGTTAGCAAATTTGTAACGTCAAAACAACACACACTTATAATGTGCATACAGGTAAGGAGAGTTACAACACATGGTCAAAACAAACTTCGCAACGGATTGCCATGGGGTAATTAGTTATTAAATGATGATACAATTACAACTACTCTAGCTAAGAAAAGATTACATCAAAAGCGAAGCGTTCTCAGTTTTTCT